AAAAAATTGAAACTATCGATAGTGCCATCGATAGTTTGACAACTCTACCGGTTAACACTAATCTCCGGTAAAACATCGTTATCGACGTCTACGACTCCATGCATACAACAGGGAGTCGGTAACGTCGATAACTATGTTTAACCGGGGATTAGCGTTAACCAGACATTGAGTAACCGGCCCTAAGCCATTTTGACACTTCCTGACGGTTAAGTTTTGGCGCGCAGTTTTCTTTTTAATTGGGAATAGTTCCCATCGTCATAAAATTAAAAAAAATATACAATAGATTTAATGTTTTCATCCATATTTTCATTTCACTAATTATAGGTCAATTCAGTAACTTTTCCAGTAAGTACTTGCAGCCAGAGCGTAAATGAAAAATAGAGAGTAAAATTGAGAGCAAGAGAAATTTCCAGAAAAAGTTATTGAACGCAAAACTAGTAAAAACTTGCAACTTAAGCCATTTGGACACTTTCTGACGGTTAAGTTTTGGCGTGCAATTTTTTAAAATTGAGAATAGTTCCCATCGTCATAAAAATAAAAAACCATAGGTACAATAGATTTAAATAATAATAATAGATTTAATAGATTTTTATCCATATTTTCATTTCACTAATTATTATGTTTCATCAAATCATACTCTTAAATAGTTTTACATTTGAATTTGAAACATTACCTAACCTTTTGACTCCTGCAAATTCCTGCTAGTAAAATTTTTACTTGCAAGAATTTGCAGCTCTCTCGGGTTGTTACGCTCTCGAATTCGCTCTCTCTCTCTCTCTCTTGCAAATATTTTGGGTTATTGAATGCATTTCCAGTCAGGACTTGCAGGTACTAGTAACAATTCGTAAAAATTTTTTGATATTGAATGGATCTATAGTCAGTCCATGCGTATTCATAGTCAGCTCTTAATCAACGCCAACGTCAACGAGAAAGTTCTATGGTGGACCGGCCTTTAGGTATGGCACTTCGGTGTTAACGCTAGGCGGCAGAAAACGCTCCACCCAACGCTTATGTTTAGGTATGACAGTAAAAGTGCGTTTCGTTGTCAAAATGCGAAAACGAAAGTCTACTTTTCCGTGTAACAGCCAGAAAGTCCTTTTAGCAGATTTGCAGAAATAACGTTCGAAAATAAAAATTGCAAGGTGTAACTGCAACTGAAATTACGCAAATCGCTTTTCAGAAAAAATTTTAACTTGCTCGTGCTGCACTAGCAATTTTCATTTTTGTTGCAAGTGCTGTTAAACCAATCGAGTGTTGGCGTTTGACGCGATTTTTGCCGAATTTCTATAAGATTGTAAAAATGTTTCATCAGATTTAAAAAAAAATTCTTGTAATTATCGTATTCTCCTCATGAACAATATAAATATTAAAGAAATAGACACTTTAAGGTTGTTTTGTGCGCATTTGAGCATTTTTAAAAAGGCTTTCAGGTCAGTAATTTTGTTATAAGCATAAAAATGTCTGGTTGTTGTTGTTGTTGTTGTAGCGGCTACTAAGCCCCGTTCGGGGCGGTTCATCCATCAAAGTTGTCGTCTATTTCAGCTAGGGGGAGGCCCAGGAAGTGTGCTAATTCCAAAGGGGCTGTCCATAGGGACAGGGGCGTTTGCGGAGTGGGGTTCTCAGGGCATGTGAAGAGGTGCCGGGAGTCATGTGGCGACTCTCCACATGCCGGGCATTGGTTGGGCACATCCTCGTTGATTCTGCTCAGGTAGCTGTTGAGCCTGCTGCAATAGCCAGATCGAAGTTGGGCTATTGTAGTGCGGGTCTCCCGAGGCAGACAAAGTTCTGTCCCGTCCACGTCCGGTGGTTCTGTGCCTAGAACGGCATTCATAACTTGAGACTGATTCCCTGTGAATGCCGTTCAGGGCCTGTCGGTAGGTTGACGGGTCCAGAGGTTGTTTAATATACCTCTGGACTTCGTCTGTCAGTTCGTAAAGATGCCTCTTGACGTGCCGTGGCGAGGGCTCTTCCGCAAGCAGTTTCCCCGCTGGGATGGCCACGTCTGTGGCTCCCAGCGAGGAACTGCTTGCAGAGCATTATGCTATGCTCCTTTACTGGGAGCATCTGGGCCTCGTCATGAAGGTGGTGTTGAGGCGTCATCAGGAGGCATCCTGTCACAGTTCTTAATGCCGTGTTTTGGCAGGTCTGCAGCTTCATCCACTGCGTCCTGCTAGTCCCCGGCGACCATACGGGCGCTGCGTAGTTTAGAACCGGCCGGTCAATTGCCTTGTATGTTGCCAACAACGTTTCTTTATCTTTGCACCAGGTGCTGCCGGCCAGCGACTTGAGGACATTGTTGCGGCTCTGTACTTTGTTGACAATTGCGGTTGTATGCGCCGAGAAGGAGAGCAGACTGCCGAAGGTAACTCCGAGGATTTTCGGGTTATTCTGTTACGCGTGTTACGTAATCGGGTCGGTATTGTTACGCCATCGAAGTGAATACCCAGTGGCAGTCTGACCTCCTTCGTCCAGTTGGTGAAAAGGGTTGCCGAGGATTTCGCAGGGGATAGGGCAAGGCTCCTTGCAGTGAAGAAGCGAGAAAGTTCGGAGAGGTAACCGTTTACTTTTGAGCACAAGTCATCAATTCCATTCCCAGACGCCATGATCGAACAATCGTCAGCATATGAGACTATATTAACACCCTCTGGTGGCTGAGGAAGCTTTGATATGTAATAATTAAACAGTAGCGGGGACAGGACACCACCCTGTGGTACCCCCTGTTTAATTTTACGTGGCTTGCTGGTTTTGTCTCTGAAGATTACTGACGAGTGTCGACCACTCAGGTAATTCGCCGACCACCGTTTGAGTCCCTGTGGGAGTGAGGAGGCCTCTATATCTTCTAGTAGCGTTGAATGACTGACAGTGTCGAACGCCTTGGACAGGTCCAACGCTACTAGAATAGTTCTCTCACAGGGGCGGTTTCGGTTTAGGCCACGAGTTATCTGAGTGTTTATGGCGTTAAGTGCTGTTGTTGTACTATGCACTTTACGGAACCCATGTTGATGCTTCGCTGGGGTCAGGAGGTTCGTGAAGTACGGGAGCAGCAGGGCCTCGAGTGTCTTCGCTACCGGGGCAAGGAGAGTTATCGGGCGATANAGACTCTCCTTTGTTGGCTGGTTTCCCCGGTTTGAGCAGTGGGACCACTCTCCCCATTTTCCAGATGTCTGGAATGACGAGAGTGGCCATAGACAGGTTGAGGACCTCCGTTAGGTACGCTACTCCCGCAGGACCCAAATTTTTCATCATCAACATGTATATTCCGTCGGGTCCAATGGCTTTGGAGGCTTTCGCCTTCCCGATGGCTACCCTTACCTCATCGCTGGTGAAAACAAGAGGCGCACTAGGTTTTGGCACTTTGTGCAGCCTTCTGGTCACTCGACGTTTGGCTTAATCCAGCGGAAGATGCAGAATGAACTGCCGGGTAAAATAGCTCGCGCATCTCTCCGGGTCCGACGAAGCTAAAAAGGCTATCTGGTAACATCGTTTAAAGTGGGCTTGTCTGCATTCACCGTGTAAACAGACAAAAAGTGATATCGGAAAGTTTGATTTTCAGAAATAAAAACTGCTTTCAAAAGCCACTTTACATGCAAGGTGTTACAGCTCCTCCAATCTCTTTTGGAAATTCTTGAGTTTTACAGACTTTTTAAAAGGGCTTGCACTTGCCACGTCTAACAGCCACTTAACAGCTACCCAACTGCTTTCTGGGATTTCTCAATTTGATCGACTTTTCAAAATATATTGCATTGCCACGTCTGACAGGCTCTTTACTTTCTTCTGTGTTATCTTGAAGAAGCGGCTTTGTTATCACTTTTTGTGCGCTGCATCATATTTTATTTTTTGCTGCAGTTTTATTCTCGCGAATCAGCTATCGCATAAAGTAGGAAAATGACATTTTTGGAGTTATTATTTTTGCTTTTCATCAGCTATTACTTCATTTACGTAACTTTTTGGATAGTTCTAGATTGCAATCTAGGACTATGGTATAAGACACATTTCGGATTACCTGTTTCGGCGATGCGTGGACAGGTTGTATGGGTGACAGGTGCTTCGAGTGGTATTGGAAGAGCTCTGGCGCTGGAGCTGGCTAAACATGGAGTACGACTGGCGGTATCCGCTAGACGGGCAGCATTGCTGGAATCATTGAAAAAGGACTGTCTGGAGCGGTCGAATGGATTTTTGTCTGACCGTGATGTTCTTGTATTGCCTATGGATATGTTGAAAGTTTCTAATCACGAATACTATTTTGAAAGTGTGCTAAGTCACTTTGGACGTTTAGACGTCTTGGTCAATAATGCTGGTCGTTCCCAACGGGCAAATTGGGAAGAGATAAGTGTTCAAGTTGATCGTGATCTATTTGAGTTAGATGTCTTTTCTGTTGTAAATCTTTCACGTATTGTGGCGCGTTACTTTCTGCAGCAGGCTGGTGGGCATGGGCATATTGCAGTAACATCAAGTATTGCTGGATTCTGCCCGGTGCCATTTTCAGCTACATACTGTGCAGCAAAAGCAGCTATCAATGCATATTTAAATACTCTTCGACTTGAGCAACGTAACATTGATGTCACCACATTCTGTCCAGGCCCAGTAGCAACAGAATTCCTTGCAGAGGCGTTCACATCGGAGCCTGAGCAAAAATATGGACAGAGCACAGAGCACCAAAAAAGGATGACTGCCGAGCGTTGTGGCCAGTTATTTGCTGCTTCCATTGTAAATAAATTAGACTTAGCATGGTGTGGCCTATTTCCGGTCAATTTTTTGGCCTACGCATCGCGCTATCCAGGATTAGCAAATATTATTTTCAAAATATTAGGAAAAAACACTATGAATAAAATTCGTGAAGGAAAGTTGTGAATTGAAAAATTATTATACATACATATCGCACATTTAATAATATTACAAACTATTTCAAAATTTAAATTTGGTAAAACGCTATCAAAGTGTGGTTATCTGTTAGACTGAACATATTCTACTTACCAATCTTATTAATTGCGTAATGAAATCTCTAAAAACGTAAATTTTGAGTTACATCTCTATATTATTAAACGTGCGATATGTATGTATATGTAGATTTCTACATATCGTCACCTGAAATGCAAAAACCTTAACAAGTCGTCCTTGATATGAAAAAAGTCATGAGTAATAATTTTTTTGATTTATTTTGGAACGAATTCCACACAACGCCGAAACCGGTTTGTTTGCAAACCAAACATGACAAGCTTTTTTATAAAAAGATGTGGGGATTTGTTATTCAATTAAATGCATCAAACCAATCAAAAAGCGACTTTGGTAGATACGGCTTTTGGATTTCAGGAGCATTGTATAGGCTTACAAGTATGGAAAGCGCCATTTTGTTTGTTTACATTTGAAAACAGCTGAGATCACCTGATTTTCAATTCTCTCATTCTCCGCACAGAGTTACATTCAAGTTTCAGAAAAAACTTTAAAATGTAAACTGAGAAATATTTTAGAAAAATGTATTTTTATTCATTTGAATTCAATAAAAAAGAAATTAAAAATGCGTGCCAAGTCTTCCATTTCCAATAATAACGATAAATGTGTATGTTCCAGGCAATAATTTAANTTGTTATACAACAAACACAACAAAAATGCACCTCAAACTTTGTACAAAAATTATAACTATGCAATGTTTCATTAAAATATTAAATTTTTTAATCAGAATCTTAAGAAAAATTTTGGTATGCGGTTTTGTAGCCCATTTAATTGTGGTATTTATTATGAAGTGTAACCTTCAACTTGGGAAAAAATCCGTTGCAATTTGTGAGTTTTTTGGTTGAAGCTGTTTCACATTTTTTCCATACAAAGAATGATGCTACAATTTTCTTTTATATGGAAAACACTGCCAGCAAAAACAAAAAACAAAAACAAGTAAGAAAGTCTAAGTTCGGGCGGAGCCGAACATTAAATACCCGGCGCAAGTATTAAATATATGTTTTCCTCCTTTCCGAAAGCTACCGCTACATGATAAGCCGGGGTGTATACATTTTAAGTAAATTAGCGTCCTTAAATTTCGAAATATTGAAATTTCAAGCATTTCTGAAATTTACCGTTATATGAAAAGCGGCCTCAATTTTAGTCCGATTTCAACAATTTTCAACGGTTTGCTTTTATGTGGCAAGCACAATAACCATACCGAGCTTGGTACAAATTGCTAGAACGGTTAGCGAGATACATATATGTGATCACAAGTGGGCGGTGCTACGCCCATTTTCCAAAATTTTGTCATAAACGTATTTCTTGGTAAAGAATTGTTGCAATCATCAATTTTGAATAAATTAGCTTCAATATTTACTGATTTATCGAAGATTTTGTATTTCTCTAAATTACCGTTATATGGGAGGTGGGCGTGGTTATTGTCCGATTTTTAAAATTTTCAGCCATTTAGTATGCTGTACTAAGGCCAACAACTGTGCCAAGTTTGGAAGAAATTGGTGTAGCGGTTACCAAGATATACACATGTAACCATAAGTGGGCGTGGCTACGCCCATTTGCCAAAATTTTTTAATATTCTTATTTGTCGTCTAAAGCTCATTGCAAATATCAATTTTGAATGAATTATCTTCAGAAGTTACTAAAATATCGCAGTTTTCGTTTTTCTGAAAATTACCGTTATATGGGAGGTAGGCGTGGTTATTGTCCGATTTCACCCATTGACAATACCATCCGTCCTACGCCCAAAAGAAGTTCACTTACCAAGTTTCGTTAAGATATCTCAA